AACATTGCTTTGTCAAAATAATTGGAAAAAAGAAATCTAATCTATTCAAAGTATTTATAAATATTAAAAAAAAAACAGCCCTCTTCTGAAATTTGGAGTATAAGTTTCTAATTGACAAATGGTGAAGAAGTTCCTATAAATTGGATTCTTATACTTAAATAAAGGATTTCTGATATGGTTGTGAATCTTTAACTTTCATGCCCTATTGCTGCAAAGATCTTGGTTTGAGTCAAATCCTGATTCTTATCATTTATTTTGTATAATTTTGATTTGGACAAAAATGAATAATATAGACTGTAGTATGCTAGATGCTGTGTCAATAACTATATATTCTATAGAATATTTTTTATTCCTTAATAAATAAATAAAATATATAAAATTTTGAGAATTCCACATAATTTTTGCACTTTGTGTTTAGAAATATCTAAAAATTGTAATCCCCAAAGATGGTCTGTGTAATCAATAATTTTATCATCTGATATTTGGATATCATTGAAAAAGCTTTTCCTAAGTAATTTTTTAATTTTCATTTCTCCAAAAAGAAATATGTCGTGAAAACTTTTAAAATTATTTTAAGTAAAGTATTTTTTTTCTCTCCTCTCCTCAACCCAAAGATTCATGGGCATCATCATGTCCACCATTCACTTCTATTTAATGCTAGTAGCTTAATCTTGCTGTAATGTGTTCTGCCTTTCGCTATATCCCAGTACTCCATTCTTGGTCATCCTCTTACCACTTTTCTCTCCATTCCTTCAAACAATACCTTCATCAATTCTGAATGTCTTTATAGATGTTCCATCACACTATTCCTTCATTTATTTATAATGTTAAGAGTTCTTCTGGTTTCTCCTACTCTCTAAAACCTGCTCATTGGACAATTTTTTAGCCCAAGCTACCTTCAGCATTTTTTTTACAAGCACATTTCAAAAGCCTGTAGTTTTGTTCAGTCCCATTAAAGAATGATATAGGCGGTCGCACCCATTATATTGGTGCGACAACCAGAATGTTAGCTAACCGCATTTCAGAGCATCAATGTTCCATCAGAGAAGGCAGAAATTAATTTATACAAATTGGAACTGTTATGGGACCCTAAGTTTTCTCCTGTCCCAAGCAGGAAGTAAATATTCCAGCTTCTTTTCTCAGCATCCATGTTTGTATGTGTAGAAGAATATGATTTTGCTTGGGATCCATATAGTATAATAGTGATGAGTGTGTACATCTTGCAGAATTTTAGATTTCAATCTCTCTGAATCAATTTTCTAAACATTTCTAAAATTATTAATTAAATTGAAAATTTATTATTATTAAAATATTTACAATAACACTAACACTATTTGCCGTTGTCTTAATTTGTACAATATCTAAGCTTTGTTTCAGAATGGTTAATTTATCATTTTATTTCAGAAAAATCAAGTGATGTTTTATACTGTTTGCTTTAATTTACACAGCATTTCACAATTTAACATTACGCAAATTTTAAATCTCTACATATATAAGGAGTGCATAGATCAATTTCTTGTTTATAGGTTCTTCTGAATCTAGATATTCTCATACCAAGAATATTATTTAATAAATGTTCTTACATTATGATATGTATAATAACATGTAGATATTGCTGTAATGATAAGATGACCCAATTTTATATTCAGAAATAAATTCAAATAATTTGGTTAAATTTATCTTCAAATTTCATGAAAAACTGTGGTTATTCTTCCTAATATATTTTACATTTGTACTAGCGTTATAACAGAAGAAAGTTTTATAATTAAATTACTTAAATTTTCAATTAAAAAATTTAATTATTTTATATTCAATAATATATCACTTTAAATGATCTAAATTGTGATTCATTTATATTATAGAGAGCAAAATAATCAGTTTGTAGATTACACAACTTGTAAGTATAAGCAAGCAATTAGAATCATTCGAGCATATTATTTTAAATAATACAGGACAATAACAGATCTTAATCTATTCACTGGTATATGTAGGCCAATGCTATAAGTAAAAATAGTTTTGGAATGAGTATGTTAAGGTTTTGTATAGAATCCAAATAATAATCTGTTGTAGCCATTAATTTTTGATTATTTTTTCAGCAATTGTTATTACAATGATCTTTGAATTAAATTTAATTTAAAAATTATTGCTGTTATTAATTAATATTACTACAAGATAATATTGTAATTGCCTGTCTTTAGAACAAATTATTATATATTAATTGTTAATATATATATTGAACTTTTACTACTGGTTTTGGTGTTTTTTGAATGGTGATATTTTCGACATCTGATGATGACTGGAAATAGGCTATTTGGGTTAGAAGTCAAATTTTTTAAATGGAACATGATATTATTTTTTAATTTAAATTGGATTAAACTAAAAAAGTAGGACAAAATTATCTCAAACATTTTTTCTGAAAATGCCTCCATCAACTGTAAAATGAATGATCTTGAAAAGTTTGATAAGTTGTACACATTTACTAAACAATCCAGCACATCAATAACACAAGTTTAATAACATATAAATGTTTTCAACTACATTTATTAAACATGTGTTGTTAATATATGACTGGATTGCTTGGTGATTGTTTATAATGTAAAGCATATTCAATTTACTGCAATATATGGTAAATGACTATGATCTACTATAAATTTAAAATAAAATTCAGTTATTTGATATCAAACATAGTTCTTTAGAAAAGGATCCAAAACTTATGGGCTTTAATTGAGCTACAAACTGCATTATTTTTGATATTCTAGATCATAATAAAAGTCATCAAATGCTTTATTTATATGTTCTAATAAGTTCTAATAACATTTAATTGTCATATCTGAAAAAATTGTATGATAATTTTCATACAAATCTGTAAATTGATTTAAAAATTAAAATGTAATGTTGGAAGACCATTGAGCAATTCTCTCAACACTTTAGTGCATTGTTGTAAGATATTCAACAATGCACTAATCTGATCTATATTGATGTAAACTTAAATAAACATAAGAGAATACAAAAAATTCAAGTAAATTTTGCAATTTATGATCAACAATTGGAACAATTTCATACTATAAAATTCTTAAGAAGCATAAAAAATGAAGTTTTTAAATGTTATGCAATTATTTATTTCAAGGTCTAAAATTATACTTTAACTAATCATTGAAAAAGCTATTAAAATACTCAATGGTGAAGAAAGAGTTTTAATTCCATTTTCAGAAGAAATTACTTTTCAAAAAAAAAAAATATAGAATAAACTTAGTCTAAATAAAGATGAATCACAAAACTTGGTGTTTGTTTTTTAAGAAGTACGTTTTCTGAAGAAAGAATTAAATTATTTGAAAAACAGTAAAGTGAGCAATTTATCATTATAATGACAAGGTCAATATGTAATTTTAGATTTATAAAACAGATTTACAACATTGCTTTGTCAAAATAATTGGAAAAAAGAAATCTAATCTATTCAAAGTATTTATAAATATTAAAAAAAAAACAGCCCTCTTCTGAAATTTGGAGTATAAGTTTCTAATTGACAAATGGTGAAGAAGTTCCTATAAATTGGATTCTTATACTTAAATAAAGGATTTCTGATATGGTTGTGAATCTTTAACTTTCATGCCCTATTGCTGCAAAGATCTTGGTTTGAGTCAAATCCTGATTCTTATCATTTATTTTGTATAATTTTGATTTGGACAAAAATGAATAATATAGACTGTAGTATGCTAGATGCTGTGTCAATAACTATATATTCTATAGAATATTTTTTATTCCTTAATAAATAAATAAAATATATAAAATTTTGAGAATTCCACATAATTTTTGCACTTTGTGTTTAGAAATATCTAAAAATTGTAATCCCCAAAGATGGTCTGTGTAATCAATAATTTTATCATCTGATATTTGGATATCATTGAAAAAGCTTTTCCTAAGTAATTTTTTAATTTTCATTTCTCCAAAAAGAAATATGTCGTGAAAACTTTTAAAATTATTTTAAGTAAAGTATTTTTTTTCTCTCCTCTCCTCAACCCAAAGATTCATGGGCATCATCATGTCCACCATTCACTTCTATTTAATGCTAGTAGCTTAATCTTGCTGTAATGTGTTCTGCCTTTCGCTATATCCCAGTACTCCATTCTTGGTCATCCTCTTACCACTTTTCTCTCCATTCCTTCAAACAATACCTTCATCAATTCTGAATGTCTTTATAGATGTTCCATCACACTATTCCTTCATTTATTTATAATGTTAAGAGTTCTTCTGGTTTCTCCTACTCTCTAAAACCTGCTCATTGGACAATTTTTTAGCCCAAGCTACCTTCAGCATTTTTTTTACAAGCACATTTCAAAAGCCTGTAGTTTTGTTCTTCCTTTTTTTCTCAATATCCATGTTTATGAATCATACAAGATCATTTCCCAAACATAACTTTTGATGTTTTCTCTTCAGATTCTTAGAGAAGTAAAGTATTTAATAATAATAATAATAAAGTATGGTGATTTCAATTAGATTAATATCTCATTAAACACCAATTATATTTTGCAGGAATTTTTATTTATTATTTTTATTAGAAAATGAGAACAGGAATATGATCATAACTGCTGATTTGCAAACAATGCAATTAGAAATATACTTAAACATACACTTTTTATGAGAGAAATGCTGGTTAATCATAAATTTAGAAGAGATCTGTAACCTTTCTGATATTTTTAAAAACCATTTATTTAGCTTTATAATTTAATATATTAAAATCTAATGTGTGTTCTCAATGAGATGGAAACAATTGAGCAGTAGTTTCAACTGATTAAAGGCAAACAAAATGAAATCCAATTATATGAAATGTTGAATGAATATTATCATATTCACAAGAATCAAAGTGATTAAAATGTCAATAAATAAGTTGAATTTAACTTTATCAATTTATATATAAAAAAGTTTTAAAAACTCAGATTTAATAAATGTTTAATCATGTTATATTTATTATTTCATGTTATATCATGTTTATTATTTGACAGGAAATAAAACAGTAACTGCCAAGAGAAGGAATGGTAATGCAGAAGAAAAAAGTGAAGAATATGCTCTTGTTAGGTAAATAATTTTTTATGAGACTAGTAATAACATTATCACTTTCACAGTAAAAATTATATGATAATTTGTTTTTCTATATTTTATTTTATAAATGTATACTTTAAAAAATAAGCATCTTTAAATTTTCATGGGTTAATTACACCATCTGGTCAACTTCATAATCGTCACTAAGAGTATTCAGTAGGAGTTATACAGTATATGGTTCAGAAACAAACAATGATATGAAATCAATTTTGGTCATGGTCAAACATATGATGGGTAAAATTAAAATTAAAATGCTTAGTGTCCTAAAAGCAGAAGGAATCAAAATAAAACAACACACTAATTTTCATCAGACAATTGCAATGAATGAATCAAATAATGGTCCAGTTGGAGACTACAGAAATTATCAGATGCTGTTATTTAGCTTCACCTAGAATGTGTTGTTCCAACTGGTCTCAAGTCTGGATGTAGAGAGAGAAGGTTGGAAACAGGAAGTGTATCCATCCAAACAACAAAGGCAAATCAAAAAGCAGTGGTAATCCCATAAAAAAATGGGACTAATATTGCTACAAAATGAGAAGAAATAGAAAGAATAAAAAATTTAAAATTGTTAAACATGCACTATTTCTGCTGGTCATTCCACGACCAAATCTCAGGAATATGCTATGACAGGGATGCTACTTCCATACTTAAGTCTGGGATTTACTCTATCCCATTGGAATACACAACATCTGGTATTCACACCCACTACATAGGAGTGACAACCAGAATGTTATCTTGCCACATCTCCAAACACTAACATTCCATCAGGACAGGCAGGTGTGACACTGAAACTGTCCTAACTTCATGTCTTTCTGCCCAGAACTTGTTACCACCATTTCCCTCACCAAATAAAAAATAATAATAAAATCACAGTATCTCTTTTTGGTTAAAATAATTTTCTTTAAATAAGGAAAGGAATTGTGCAAATTAATCAAATTGACATGCAATATGAAAATAATAATTGACCATGCAGCCAAGAAATAGTTACTTCATATTATGATTTTGTTAAGTAACATGAAACATCATGTGTTCTGTACTAACAACATTCGACAATGTCAAATGTCGTCACATATATACATTTGTCTTGTCCCATGTTCTAACAAAGATATTTTCAGGGGAAAATGTATATGAATTAGAATTTCAAACAGACTTCACTTACCATTAAATCAGCAGTAATGGTAGTCTCTGTGCTGATTTCTATAAATATTTTAATTTTATCAGCATATCGATTAATGCCTTCATCGGTTATCCTTGATACTGCAGAAATTTCTTCCGTCCAGGTGAGATCATCTTCGTATTTTTTTTCTCTGAACAGAAAATCGTCCTGTTCGGAGTTCTGTGCAGTTGCAAACTCAATTTAAAATAAGATTTGCATATATTTATGATGGTCAACATCAATGTATAATTATCTATTATCAGTTTGCATAGTAATTTCTGAGATTGTAGTATCTGTTTAGTTCAATTTTCCAAACAAAAAAATGTTAACAATAGACAATATATTATCTCATATATTAAAGTACAGTAACATTGGATGACTAATTAGGATATAAATTATAAAATTTGTTATATACATTTTATTTTTTAATAGGAAACTTGCAACCACATCAGAGGATGTGATTGATGACATAGAGCACATGTTGACCAACCTTTCGAACCAGTTGGATGCCATGTTGGAGGACGAGAAACTAACGAAGGACAGTCAGTGAATAGAGACACTTGTTATTGCACCTTTCACATATTAAAAGGTTTAAAGTTTTAAAATATTTAGAAGACTAAATTCTCTTTATACAAATTTTTGGAAATTGTTCTTTGATGAAAATATAAACTACAGTTTTTTACTTTTTTCCTGTTATTAAATAAATCTCATAGAATGTATAAAAACAAAGCTACTGTGCCAATGAATGATTCTTAAATAGTGTTTGTATATATATATAAAGTACAATATAATCTTTATGCATGTTTTTGTTATTAAACAAATGTGTAGAATTTGTAAAAAGAAACTTAAGTCTAAAAGAGTGACCATGAAAGATTTTGTAGAATATGATAGTTTTCAATTTCTACACCATGACGATTTTTTACGTTGCTGTATATTTTTTTCGTTTAATAAATTTATTAAAACTGAACTTTTCAATATGCAAATAAATGAAATGATTTAAAATGTAATTAGTATTTTATTTTTAAATGAGAACCATATTTAAAACTGTGTATACCTGTTTAGAACTTACATAAAGTATTAAGTAGATTAACACCAGAATTTAAACTTGAAAATACAACCATTTAATTTTTATACAAATATTTAAACCAGTGGTTCTCAACCTTTCTGAGGCCACAGAACACCATTCATATACTTTTTAGTACATGAAGCATTAACATCAATATATTCAAAAATTGTTAAGTAATTGCATGATGTACTCATCATGTATTCACATAAAACAATGAAGCAATAAACTAATAAGCTTTATTGTATTGAATAAAATAGAAACATGGAATTGTCTATGAATAAAGTAATATTTTGTAATACATCGGAATGAATTGCAAGAAAAACTAAAATATATTATTTTTTGTGGAGCACTGGTTGAGAATCATTGATTTAAATCAACGAGATATAAGTAAACCTTTAACTCTATTTGCTCTAGTTAAAAATGAATATCATTATATCCAATATGAGATTATTATTATTATAACATCTCTTTGACATTAATGACAATTTGACAACAGGAGAATTAATGTTTCCATAAAGATATTGAAAAAGGGAAAACAATGTTTCTATAATGTACATTAGATATATGCATATTCTTTCAATGTTTTATACAAGTAGAAATATAAAAAGCACTTAAACTTTTTAACATATTAAATAATCAAAATTTGTTTGTGCGCAAATGGCATTTGATTTTCATAGATAAAAATAGAAAACAGATTAAGTAAATATCTAATTATATCTGACAAGATTTCTACTGAAAAGTTATTTGAAATTAGTTCAAAATATAATTAAGATATTCAATATTATGTTATCAATTGTTTAAAGAATTATTACAAAATAAAAATACATCTTTTAGAGGTCAGATGAACCCACATTTGAGTTCAGATTGCCTCAAATATTTTCATAGATGAAGACCTAGATATGTTGAGTTCATCCCCATCTACTTTTGTTCTTATTGTGACTTGGCAAAACCTATGATGGACATGGAAAAAGCCCTCTTAATAACTATAAAACAAAAAAGTTAAAAATTTTTAGAGTATGCATTATGGAGTTATATTTCACATTTTTCACATTTTACATTATGTCTCACCATTCATCACCTTTTATATTTCTTTCTCAATACTTGTATACAGAATCTGAGATAGATGAGATGAGAACTGGACAAGTAATAAATGTAAGGCTCTGTCATCTTCAAAAGCCAAATGAATAAAAGTAAAAATATTTAGTTATTTTAAATATTAAAATTTTTAGATAAACTTTATTTTCATGTAAATGGAATTTATGAAGTTATATTAATGGTTTCAATCTAGCATTCATTTACTAGCGTAAGATAAAAAAAAAAAGGTAACAATTCATATAGGCCAATTTCTGTCTAGTTCAATGCTCAAAATTTTTTAATTAATACGTCTTTCACAAAATTTATATCCTGATCTCATCAAAATTACTACCAACACAACTTTGCAGAATTCAAAACCATTCAACAATAACAAATTTATTAGTTACCATTCATATTTCTTGAAAATTTTGAAAAAACATGTAACTTATGTAGCCTATATTGATATAAGACAAGCATTTGATGCTGTACTATCTAACATCCTCATAGCTTTACTTCATGATCACTTTGATATAGAACCAGCATTTCATTTGTGGTTAAACATTTCTTAACCTGATAATGCAAGATCAAAATAAGCAATTTTTCATTGATTTGTGGAATACGGCAGGAGTCAATCTTGAGTGGACTCTTGTTTTCAGCATACACTGATAATCTGTTTAATAATAATAAATCAAATACTGTGATTTATGCAGATGATATTAAATTTCTAAATCATGACCCTAATCATCTTTAATCAGATATAAATCTCCTAATTTCTGTATTTGGTAAAACAAACCTTGCTATTAACATAAATAAAACTGTTATATATTTTTCCTTGATACATAACCCATCTCTTCCACCCTTTAAATTAACAAAAAAAAAAAAACATTCCACACTTTGAAATACATTAACTCACATAAGAATCTAGGGTATTTTTGATAAATTAATTTTAAAAGGCAATATTGATAAAATAGTGAAATCTTGTGATCCATTGTGAATACTACAGCACTTCTGAAAATCTCTCTCTTAAATCCATTTCATGTTCATTATTTTTCGTGAATTTTCAGTCTCTTATTGACTATTGTATTCCAATATAGCGCATGGACGTACCTTCACTTCTTTCCAAAATTTCTAATAGACTACACAAAATATATCTGCTCTTAAACAAATTCAGTAACTTACCTGTAAATCATATCCTAAATGTCACCAGAGTCATTCAGACTTCCAGATTTCCAAGAACAAATCAAATACTTTGTATACTTTTTAAATATTTTAGTGGTTTTATTTCACCACATTGGCTGATTGGCACATTTATGATTTTATCTTTCGTGTGTTGGTAAAATATTTTATATTTTTTTTAGCTTTTTACACACATTTGTTTTCTTTTTTTCAATTTTAATTTTTATGTATCAAAATTTTTTCTTCTCGTTGTATCATGGTGATGTTTTTATGCATCTTAATTGTAGTTGTCAAGTTTTTGAATTTATTTATCTATAGAATTGATTATAGCTTTGTCAAAAAGACAAGTATAAGGATATTGGTTTAAGTTAAATTTTAAATACATAGTTTTAGAATGGGAACACTGAAACATACAATAAAGCAAAGATGATGTAAGATCAAATCTAACAACATATACAGTACATATATACTGTATATTTTTAATATGACATCACATACATATAAAACAAAATTTTTAATATGGCCTCATATATACATATGTTTTAAAATATATATATATTTATTTATTTTAATATATATATATGTATTTTAAATTAAATGATTATCTCAAATAACCAATAGATATATGAGGCTTATCAAACTAATAAAGCCAAGTAATCAAGCTCGATTACTTGGCTCTATTAGTTGGATAAGTCTCATATATCTCAAATATTGGTTATTCGAGATAATTATTTAATTTGATTTATTAGGGGCAAGAAGCTTACAACTGTAAATGTTTTAATTTAGAATCCTAATATAGTATAGTATCTTAAATAAAGTATTCAAATAAAAATTAGTTATGAAATTCTATTTCCTTTCCCATAAATTATCAACAACTTATGGACCAATAGCATATATAATAGTAGAATTTTAATTGATATATATTTTATTTTCGGTGGGAGGTTCTCCCTCGGAAAGCATGTGAAGAGCAGTACAAGGACCTCTTGTCCATGAACATATCTGCATATGTTAATGGGAGTGCCAAAAGAATGGTTTGGTGAAGGAATATTTCCCTCATGATCCAATACAATTAAATAATTTCCTCTTCTAGCAATAATGCTGATTTTCCCAGTTGGTATCAAACTTCTAAGAGCTGGGTTAAAAACTACCATAATCTTATCCATAAGTGTTTGCAATATTGGTACCTATGGAAACAGTTATAAAATACAGTGCAGCCTTATCTGTATCCACAAGAAACCAAACTTTTTTATGGCATATGAGGCAATCTGTCATACACATGTCAGAGAAAATATCACCAGCTATTGTTGCTAATTGCCAATCTAACATACTAATTATTTTTTATATTCATTATGACCAAAGTAACTTTAAATTTTATACTATTCAGAAGTAACATGAATTATTCAAAATTTACTTTTGATCCAATCTATTATTTTTGTCACCTGCTTTTAGCTTCCAATTATATCAACTAATGGTGGCTTGGTGTATGCCTAGTTTGCAAAATTTTCTGTGTCTTTACTATAAAAGTTTGATGAATCAAGTTTTTCTTACGGAATAGTGTGGCCATGTGCATATGCTATAAAGTTTATAACTCAGCCCTAATAGTTGATATATGAGTTTATTGATGTCTACATTCATTCATTCTCAGCCATTGTTTTATTAGGATTTACTATTCTGTTTGATATATATTTTGATGATAAATGCAATTATCATCAAAATATACCAAACAGAATAACTGGAAAGTCCAACAATATGCATTGTTACCTTTTCAGTTAATAATTTGATAAAATGAACATTTTTTCTAAGGTAAAAAATCCCTCGGAACTTTTTCACAAATGGTCTGACCGAGATATATTGGGCCTCGAACCCTCACAATACCATCATCTCCATTGTGGGTTCGACCAAGCCCGCAATGAATACGGTGAAAACCCTCTTTCAGTGCCCACAGGACAGAATCAACTATATCTGGGTGTCCCAAAAAATGTATACACACTTTGAATTATTATGAAGTCAGTATTTATTTATACACATTTATATACATTTTCAAAATTTAAAAGAACCTAGAGAATGAATACTGTACATTTTTGGTCAATGCCTATTTTCAAACTGATTACTGAGGCACTGATGGCAATGTGAAGCAATGGAATCAAGAATCATTTTGTTCTGCATGTGTGAATATTCTTGTCCAATGGTTGTCTTCAATTCGTTGACTGTTATCAATTTTATACAGTAAACTTTATCTTTTATGTATCTTTATAAAAAAATCTAGTCACGTGATGTTTGTTGAATGTGGAAAATATTCTACTGAAACTGTGCATCTCTGCGGAATATAACTCTCACAATGCCAGTACGTCAAAATTCAATGGATGCTTGATTTTGAAATTCCTATCTCACAACTTGTCACACAGATTTTCTTGAACTCTGGCAATACATTTCCATCTACCTTTCTTGCCTTGTGGAGCTCAATGTCCACAGTCTTCTGGAACATTTCTTGTGGTCATTCCGAACAGTTTCATCTGCTTCAATCTTATCTCTAATTCAAGTGACATTAAGTTGCATAGTTAGATCTGTTTGAAACTCCCTCCTACTCTGTCTTTGCATTTAACCACATTTTTAAACCTTCAGTAGCAATTTATGATAAATTTCCTTTGTTTAGTCTGGCCTCACCCATTATTTCAAATCAGTTAAATTT